TGAGGGAGAGAAGAAGAGGGAGGAGGGAGGGGGGAGGGGGAGGGGAAGAGAGAGAGAGAGAGAGAGAGAGAGACAGACAGACAGACAGACAGACAGACAGACACACTGATTGGTTGCCTCCCACATGGCCAATGATGGGTGGGGATCCAACCTGCAACCCAGGTGGGCGCCCTTGACTGGGAATCGAACACACAAGACAATAAGGTTCTGGTCTGTATCAAATAATCTTAGGAACAAAGCACTGACCACAGGGAGTTTCAATCAAACCGGAGATAACAGGTGGGCCTCAGCTGTGGCTCAGCTCCAGGCCCATGAAAGCAGTGAAACCATACCAATCCAAGCCATGGCTGGTCAGCTACCCCTACCCTAGTGTCATTGTCAGCCAGTCAAACAGAGGCCAGGACCCTAACTCCCTTAGTCACCATGCGTAATGGTTTCCCCCTAAAGAACCCATCCCCTGGAAGCCATCAGGAGCCAGGTCTCTGAGCATTAAATTAGCTCACTCGTCTCTGGGCTTGCGCCACCTTCTAGAACAGCGGTTCTCAATCTGTGGGTCGCGACCTCTTTGGGGGTCGAACGACCCTTTCAGAGGGGTTGCCTAAGACCATTGGAAAACACATATATAATTACATGTTGTTTTTGTGATTAATCACTACGCTTTAATTATGTTCAATTTGTAACAATGAAAATACATCCTGCATATCAGATATTTACATGACCATTCATAACAGTAGCACCATTACAGTTATGAAGTAGCAACAAAAATAATTTTATGGTTGGGGGTCACACCAACATGAGGAACTGTATTAAAGGGTCGCGGCCTTAGGAAGGTTGAGAACCGCTGTTCTAGAACGAACCCCTTGCTTTCTTTGCGGCAGGCTCCTGTTCCTGTCTCAAGGGGCTTTGGTGAGCGCAGGCAAAGGGACCCCTTCAGTCGGGTAACACATCTTTCTGTTGGCGTTCAAGAAAGCCAGGCTGGTCTTCTCAGTGGATCTGGGTCTTTGTTCAGCAGTTAAAGGCTGTGCGTGCACGTCTAGGCAGCACCTTTCAAGGGCCCTCACTTTTACTCCAAAGCCAATGAGGCTCAGGTAGCTCCCGAGTTAGCAGAAAACACCCAGGCCCAGGTCACTTGGAGGCTACGGCCTCACAGGAATCCCCGAGCGGAAAGGAAAACAAATAAAAGCACCAACTAAGACAAAAGATACTGGACACGGGCTGGGAGCGATTTTGTGCATTTCGCGAATGACAAGCCCAGGGAGGCCTGTGTGGCAGCCTCACACACTCAAGGGCCTAAATAACCACAAAGGATGGTCTGAAATGGAAACTTTCTAAGGAAAAGCAGGCTGGTCCTAGGCTACAATCGTCCCAGACAAAAGCCAACCTTGGCTTTAATGGAGCCCACTGTCTTCTCGCACCGAAGACCACGTGCCTTTGGGAGGTCAGGGTGTCTTTCCTTTCTTCCGGACCCTCGGGGCGCACCCTGGCCACCAGGGCGGACCACCATCCTCGCCCGCCGGGCAGATTAAAGAAGCACGTGTTTCACTTTTCAGCCAATCCCAGCAGTTTCCCCGCCTCCCTAATCGCTCACGAATGGATTTCACGTAAACCAATTACGTCTTTTCCAGAGCATTTTCCCCAATCCCTTTAGATTTTGCTTCCCAGCAATGGTCAGTTCGGCTCAAATAGTCATAAAAATCCTCTACAGCAGTGGTTCTCAACCTTCTGGCCCTTTCAATACAGTTCCTCATGTTGTGACCCAACCATCCCATTATTTTCCTGGCTACTTCATAATTGTCATGTTGCTACTGTTATGAATCGTCACGTAAATATCTGATATGCAGTATGGTCTCAGGCGGCCCCTGTGAAAGGGTCGTTCGACCGCCAAAGGGGTCGCGACCCACAGGTTGAGAACCACTGCTCTACAGGTTTGAATGTTTCTCACGTAGACAATTTTAACACATTTAATTCTGTATCAAATTTAAATGTACTTTCCCCCCACTTTTCTCAGAAAAACTCAGAATCAGAGAAAAACTGGGAAGCTGATAGTAGGCGGATGCGAGACGCCCTCCAACGGCTCAGAGCCTGGGTCCCTCCGCTCGCCCGCCCCCCAGGGGGCCGGGGCCGCCGCCGGCCGCCCGACACTCACCCTCGGCGCTGTCCCGGGCCCGGTGGAAGTCCTCGGAGCGGCCGTCGCGGACGGCCCGGCACAGAGAGAGGCAGAGGAAGTCCAGCATCCAGCCAGCAGCTACGGCCTCGGCCTCCGCCACCAGGCCCGCGTCCTTCTCTTCCGCGGGGGCCCCCACCTCCGCCTGGTCCTCGAACAGCTCCGGGCTCTCCACCTGCTCCTCATATCACCTTTTCTTTTCCCACAGCCCCGCCTCCGAGGGTCCCGCATCCGCCCCGTCCGCACACCCCCGGGAGACCCGCCGGCACCGTGGCCCGCCATGTTCAATCGCTGGCGCGTTTTTGCTCCTTCGGGTGCCGGGCGACAATTGGTTGGCGCTGGCGGGCGGGGGCGGAGCCACGGACGGGCTCTTCCTCCGGGAATCCACCAATCACACCGCCGGAATGGGCGAGCGGCTCGATGCTGACTTCTGATTGGCTCAGAGCTCTCGCCTCAGGATGTTTAATTCTCCGTCACTCCAGCGCAGGGCTTTGTTGGTAAACCGGCTGACTCCAGAGTGGGAGGGGAGAGAGAGACTTAAAAAAGACATAGGTGGTGAGGAGTCCATTATTCAAGCGTAAAAAGATATAGGTGATTAGAACTCGACTCCATTATTCAAGCGTAACACCTAGTATTCACTAACACAATTACTACGTGATCACGCAGCCAAACTGTTACAACCGACTTACAGCCGTGATTCTCCAACAATGTGCACCAACAACATCAGCTGGGGCTTGTCAAACACACGTTACCTGGCTTCACCCCGCGTCAGTTCTGTGGGGCTGGAATGGGGTCCTTTAATGGACAAATCTAACAAGCTCCCAGGTGATGCCGAGGGTTAGTCTGGGCTGTTGGCTATGCAAATAGCTTGTCTGGGGACTTCGCTTTGTTAAGCCAATAACAACAACAGTGCCTAAAAACTGGAATTCTAAGATTATATAGCAAGAACATAAAAAAGCACAATTATTGACCTTTTATAAGACTCCTGAAATAAATGTAAGTTTGAATGCATTCATCAGAGTAAGAATTTTATTGTTAAAGAATACATAGCCCTGGCTGGGTAGTTCGGTTGGTTAGAGAGTTGTCCCAATACACCAAGGTTGTGGGTTCAATCCTTGGTCAAAACACATACAAGAATTAACCAATAAATGCATAAATAAGTGGAACAACAAATCAGTCTCTCTCTCTCTCTCTCTCTTTTTCCGCTCTCGTCAATAAAAACAAAAAGAATCAATGCATACATTATATAACTATAATGGTTACTAGGAAATATTTTTTTCAGTAGAAAATTGTTCCAGGGGCACATTATTGGAAGAAATGTAGATACTGGCTTTTATTTCTACTCAGAAATTTTATACTACAAAATATCAAAAATTTTACCAAGAACTTTCATCAGCATTGATATACTAAATAAAATAATGATGGCAACTGGAATGTTGGTAAGATGATGGTTTTCTATTGCTGTGTAACAAACCATCTCCAAATTTAGTGAATTAAAAAATAAATCCTTTGTTTATCTCATGAATCTGCAATTTGAACTTAAAAGGACAAAGCTTGCTTTCTCTTTCTGTCTCTCTTTCCACCACATGGGACATAAACAGGAGAGGGCTATATCACATTGCAAGGGGTCACAGACACAGGGTAGCATGGTTTTTTCAGGGCCATTATTATAGTCATCATCACAGTATTTTTCTGTATCAGCCCCAAAGTTGTTGTAAGGGGCTTACAACAATAACCACTTTATTACTCACAAATCTGTAGGCCAGGAACTCAGGCACATCTTGATGGGGTAGATTTTCTCTTCTCTACATGGTGCAGACACGGGCAGCCAGCCTGGCCTGGAGGACCCAACAGAGTCTCCGTCTCATGTCTGGTACCTCCTGAGCGATGGCTCAAAAGACTGGAGTCTGGTGGGCTGGCTGGGCCTCTCTTTTCTCTTGGTGTCAGCTGACTTACGCATATATCTGAGTCATTGGTTTTCTTCATGTGGCCTCTTTTTCCATGTGGTGTCTCCTCCACGGCTTGTCTTCACAGCCTCTCTCTGGTGTGGGATATGTTGGACTTCTCTCCAATCAGGTAGGCTCCAAAAGAGCAAAAGCCGACACTCACTGGATTTAGAAGGCTCAGGCCCAGAACAGCACAATGTCAAAGCAAGCCATAGGCCATTCCAGATTCAATGATGGACAAGTAGACTTCACCTCTTCATGGGAGGAGAAACGTGTGTGCAGGGATGCAGAACTGTTGAGGGCGATCTCTGTGAACAGTGCACCAGGGTGCTGGACTGAATGTGGAAAATGAGAAGCTGGGGTCAAAGGGTTAGTCTGGGCTGGTGGCTATGCAAATAGGTTGTACCTAATAGCCAAGATGATTCCACATAAGAGAAGGCAGCTATATAGGGGGAAATTCAAAGTTTCTATGAAGCAGCAAATCAGTAGGAGACAACACATGGATATTGGTTGAGAGAGTAGGTAGAATCTGTTCTGCACATGACGATTTCATGCTAGCTGGCCGTGAGATGGTCAAACAGAAAACGCCACAACCTCTGCAGCCAGTGGAAGTGTTTAGCTGTGACACAGGAAGCACCATGAGGGGCCCACGTGTCTTCCCAAAAGACATTTTGCTGTGATGAGACTAACGTGGAACTTATCCTCCCACTAAAAGGATGAGATCATAAAATACCCCTTCCCTCACCACCTGGGTAGAACCCAGAGCAGATGGCCAGACAATATAGAGGCTCTA